GGGGTGGTGCCGCGGGGTGCCCGAGGCCCCTGGTGCCTTCCCTGCCGCGTACCCCTCAGCCGGGAGGGAAAGCGGGGGTGCCCGCGGTGGATGCGGACCCCGAGTGCTTCCCCCGCGGTGCCTCTGGGACCTTCTCCTGGCTGGGGGGGGTTTTTTTTGCGGGCCGGGGTGTGCATGGACACCCGTGGCGATTGTGCGTGGGACAATGGTGTCTCTGTTAGCTGCCGTGCCGTGTGTTCCTGTCTATTCTCTCAGTTCCCTGAATAGCTTTTCAGTGTCTGTGCTGACAGCTTTAAAACCACCAGCCTGGCAGCTCCTGTTGTAGCAGAGAGCTCTTTCGGGATCCTGCCTGCCAAGGGGTGGGTTTGCCTGTAGCATCGTTATTTCGACATCCTTTGTTTCCTCTGATACACCTGCTCAACCACTTCTGGTGGCAGGACGGAGGTGGATGCAACATGTGCTGGTTTGGGTCCAGCTGCTCATTAGGTGTCTTGTGTGGAAGAGGATGAGGCAGATGCTCGTGCTGCAGAAGCCAAGAAATGTCAGTCCCTTAATCGTCTCATTGTCTTCAAAACCAGGTTAAAAGAATCTTCAGCTAAAGTCACTTAAAAACAAGGTTTGAATGAGGAAGTGAGGGAGGGGGCATCGGAGCTGCAGATACCTGGCTTTCCCTGCCAAAGACACATTTGGTTTGTGTGCTTGTAGGGCAGTTCGGTGATGGGGCGTCCCGCCCGACGTCTGTGCGCTGAACGGTGTGTTGCTCACCACGCCCTGATGGAAAAGGATGGCCGTCTCCGTGCTATGGCTCCTCTCTTGGTCGTTTTTTGTTATCCCACGGGAGTCTCCTGCTCAGTTACTTATTTTGTGATCTCTGTTAGCAAAGATTTGTGTGACTGGAAACGATGAGTCACCAGATCTTCACTGATTCCTGGCCTTGTGGGCAGCCAGCTGCTCCCTCTGCTGCTGTAGAGCTGATGCAGCTTCCATGGTTGCAGTACACTTATCTATGTGAATATCGTGATATACCCTGCGGTGGGAGTATATAGGTAACTTTTAAGCCCAAGAATTTATTTCTTAGCAGGGATAACTTGTAATCATTCAGCCTTCAGTCCTTCCCCTTTTTACTGCCCACCAGTTGATATGAGTAAAGAACAAAAATAGGTATTAGTTAGTGGGTATGCTGTTTCTTGTCCAGGCTAAAGTCCATGAGGCTTTTGCACTAATTGACCGTGAATAACAAATTGCTTTTCACGAGGCTATCACTGTGTTAAAAGTGTTTGTCAGCATTAAACTGCATTCTGTTCCAATAGACTCAGATCTGGTTCGTGCTTCAAAAAGCAATGGTTATGCACATTTTGGGGAAAAGTGTGTTAATCTTGTGTATTGAACAGCTGTGGTAGTCTTCACTTGACATCTGATGACCCGAAAATGATTTGCAAAGATGGGAGGAAACGTTTATCACCACACACAGGTGGAGAACCTGACCTGCAGAGATGGTGATTTCAACTCCACTCTCCTGCCTTCCTGATCATGTTACTACATACATTAGTGTTGGAGTTGGGGCTGAGCCTAAGTTTTTGAATCCCCGTTTTCAACTGCAGTTTTACTAGACCACAAGCTGCACTTTTTTGGGGGTCCACCTTAGATAGCCACATCTGTAAATGAAACTGGTTCATTTTAACATACTTACTTGAAACATCATCTGCTGCAGATCCAGCTGGCTGTTCTCATTAGGGACTTTATTTACTGCTCTGTCACTTTCTTAAACAACTCCCCTCCCTCCCCGCATTTCTGTGACTCTGTAACAAAAGTACTGCAGTTCCAGGAAGAAATCTGGTGGATCTGTGGGAATTGAGGAATAACATCCGTGTAAACTTCAGCTTCTTCAGAAACAACGTGTGTGGAGGTGTTTCAGTGTTTTCTGAAAGTGAAAAATGACATAATATGCCTTCAAGCTATACCCAATATTGATGTATTTTAAACTTATACAGCAGCATTTTAAGAAGAGAGTTTATGCTGTCCCTTTTTGAATTTTACACTTGCCACAGTTTTAGTAATAATAGTTTAGGATTTTTTTTATTGCCTCCTGAGAACTGTCACAGTTGTGGAAATGTGATTCTAAAATACTAGTCAGGGCCCTTTAAAATAAAATGAAAGTGAAAGTTAACCACGCAGGACTTTGAGTTCTTCCAAAAATTAGTAAACGCACTGTATGCAGTCTGGGTGCTTCGCCTTTTTTTGCTACGGTCATGCTTTTCCCCTCTCCTCTGTTAAAGCACTGAACAACAAATTACAGAGTTGGAGATGGTTTTTTAAAATAGTAGTTCAGTTTATCCTCCTGTCCTGACCAGGCCTTCCTCCCCACGTGATTTTGTAGGCTGTGGTACTGCTTATCTGACCTTGAACAGGGAGCATGGGACTCAGGGGTTGAGCGTTTGGGGATTGTGGGATGTTTAGGGGAGGAACCAAAGGCAGGGGTCAAGGTCATTTGGAGAGGATCAAATGTGGGGAAAATAAAAGGATAAAGGGGTAAAAAGGGGTTGACCCTGCCTAAATGGGCCTGCTCTCTGCCTCTGCCTGGCAGTGTCCTGCAGCCCATCGGTGCCATCTGTCCCATATTCTTGTTAAACTCCATAGTTTCTTTCCTGGGGAATGGACACCGCTCTGCACACAGGTGTGGAGGGGTAAGCACCAGCAACTGGAGCCAGACAGCGGGTCAGAGAGCCTCTGTGTCCGTGATGCCAGCACCCAGCACGGGTGCGAGATGCCTAGCAAAAATCAAGCTGGACTAGCCAGCAAGTAGGTGAGGTGGTCTGGGAGCCAGACGTGTGTGCATCTCTGAGAGTGAGACCAGTGAAGGCGTAGACTGCTGGAGGGGCCTGGGCTGTTGGCCAGCTGCAAGAGAGGGAAAGGGGTCTGTGGTTGAGTGTGAGACCCTCAATTACACGGGGGTCCGCAGCGCACATGCTGGTGTGAAGGGGTCTGTGCAACAGCGGCTGGTACACCCTTGTCAGCAACTGGGGAGACTGGTGTCTGGGGACAGCTGCAGTGAAGACTAAACCAGCTGCTGGTGGATCCACTTTATACATGTGTGTATATGTATTTCCCACGAACAGACCATCCTGATTGACTGGGGAGGGGAATGGGGTGAGGCCTCGGTGCATGTGTGAGCATCTGTCTGTGTCGATCAGCGTGGCCAGCCACGAGTGTGTTTGGGCGTGCGTTGTGTCCGTCTGCGTGCCTGCTGGATGTACGTGCTCAGCCTCCCTAACGGTCGGACCTGGGAACGTGGAGCTGCGACAGCCTCGCCGGGTTTGGCAACCCTCTGCCTCAACGTAGGAGGAACGCCAGCTATTCATAAAGCAAATTGGTGTGTTACGCTGGCACGAAGAAACATGGGGGTTTGGATGCTTAGATTGTCACGTCATGCTTCCGTGTTCTTTCTCGGCAAGATAACTTTCTCTTGTTATGCACACGTGTCTAACACTCCTTCTGTATTATTGCAGTTGGGTCGGATTGTGACATTCCCAATATGGCTCATCTACACCGCCTTCCAGAGGCTTTTTGGGAATCCCTGTCCTGCGATTACTCTGAAGGATCCTGACGTAAAGTATGCATTGAGGCTTGTTGATAAGGAGGTAAGAGCATGTATGGTGCTGAGCATGACCTCTCCATACTGTGAAATGCTTCTGGTACTGCGATACGGATACTCTGAAATGCTTATAGCTTCTTAAGTCTTGCGTAGTGTTGCAGCAGGGCAAATATTTGTATTTTAAGGAAAGGACTGTCCTTATAAATGCTTCCTGCCCAGTATAACTGAGTTCTGCAGTTCTACAACTAGCTTGTTTCCAAGCAAGTTACAGCGGAGAACGCTGGCCACTCACAGTTTCTGTCGCATATGTCTCACGTCGTGGAGTTCATCAGCAGAAGTTCCTGAACTCTGCGCTACTAGGTTGGCTGTGAGACAGGAGTCGTGCTGTCAGGCAGCGCGGGCAGTTTTTTCATGGTCAGCAGCATTCAGCATTGCCCGTCTGTACTGCAACAACTGTCGGAAGTATGTTGATACTGATTCATGTTACTGGATTTATGTACTCTAATGTGTTACGGGGAGAAAGGTGTAGTCCTGAGAGCACCTGAGCTGTCTCAGCTTCTCTTTCGCTCTGTTAGATGTAGAAGCCATTCTTTACCTCCCAGGCCTGCTCAACCTGGCTTCAGAGGAAGGTCATGAACCTTCTGGGGGTGGGTCTTGCTATCAGAAGTCAGTAACTCAACTTGTGGGAAAGCCACAAAAGGTGAAAAGTCCAAATTTCCCTTGGATAAGCTCATTGTCAAAAGCATGAGAGAGAACATTTGGCTTTTCAGGTGTGAAGTCATAGAATCACAGAACGGTTTGGGTTGGAAGGGACCTTAAAGACCATCCAGTTCCAACCCCCCTGCCATGGGCAGGGACACCTTCCACTAGACCAGGTTGCTCCAAGCCTCATCCAGCCTGGCCTTGGACACTTCCAGGGATGGGGCATCCACAGCTTCTCTGGGCAACCTGTCCCAGTGCCTCCCCACCCTCTCCAGGAAGAACTTCTTCCTGATATCCAATCTAACCCTCCCCACTGTCAATTTAAACCCGTTCCCCCTTGTCCTGTCACTACAGGCCCTTGTGAAAAGTCCCCCCCAGCTTCCTTGTAGCCCCTTCAGGCACTGGAAGGTGCTATAAGGACTCCCCGGAGCCTTCTCTTCTCCAGGCTGAACAAGTCACAACTGAAGATACTCGTAGCGTTGACTTTTTAAGTCAGCGAGCTCGTTGGAAGGTTACCAGAAGAGCTTTGATGAAAAGGACTTTGGACTGGAGCAGAGCGTGGTTGGAGGTGTAAGAGTGCACTGATAGCTTGGCTTTCGTTGTCTTGTCTGTCAACAAAAACACTGTCATTCCTAATCCTGGTTTCATGGGAACTGAAAGCTTCCCTGTGGCTTGGGCTGGGCAGCATTACTGCATTTATTTCCCATGTGTACCGCAACAGCGCTGTTCTGTACTCCCCGCTTTCTCACGAGGTCCGTAGCACGTGCTTGCAGGTACCGTCTGTCTGCCTGACGTGCAGGAGGGGAGGGAAGCTTGAGGCGCTGCACAGTCACATTACTTGCAGGTTTCTGCTGTAGCAGTTCTGCAGGAGAGAATTCACAGTTCACATGATTACATGATTTATTTATTTTGCTAAATACTGATTTTTTTTCTTTCTCACTCTCTTGTCTTTTGTGTGCTGCTTTTTAAATCTTGGGATAAGAACAGCTCTTCTGTAACCAGGTCAAATGCCACTGCCTGCGGTACCTTGATTAACTGAGAATATTTGAGTGATTGATGTTTATAATTTTTTGCCTAAATGGGATGTGTGTCCTGGAAACAGAAGTTAATTTTGAAAAATAATAACTTGGTATAATAAGTGCTAGTAACTTCTAGCATCCTGCCCAAAATCTCAGGCAAACACTCTTTGGCACGAAATCTCTCAGCATTGCCATATCCACCTGCCTGGGAAAGATGAAATTAGTCTTTCTGGCATGCTTCAGGCTGTGTTTTGTGAGCTATTAAATTTGACGTAGATGAGAACTTCAGTCTCAAACCACCTGTCGTTGCACAAAACCATTTTAACTTGGGGAGAGAATCGTGGTTCTCAGTGTCATTGTGGAGCCCACTCAAGACATCTGTGTGGTTGGCTGGAGTTTACCTTCCATTGGAAGAGGAATTTCAGTACGCTGGGTGTACCTTGGAGCGTTGCTCCTTTTGCTTGCCCAGCCTAGCTGAACGGCCTTATATTTTAAGTTTCTGCGATTCCCATTAGTATGTTGGTATTTATCATTCCCTTCTTGGGACTATGAAGCTGTTGGTACCTGCACCAGCAGAGCACCAGAATGATTTGTGGTTAAAAGTGAACAGTTCCTGTTTTGGAGCTGTAATTTTTAATCTGATGTATTTTGATGATACAGTTCAGAGTATGGCCTTGCAGAAGGTTTTCTTAGTGGACTGTGGCCCAAGCAAAGGAACAAGAAGCTTGACCAGAAAGAGAAGTGTCAGGAATTGCTTAGACCAATTTCACAGCTGAAGAAAATGGACCAGTGATGGCAGCAGGACGCCGAGTCGTGCTGGGCCGCTGTAGACCAATACGTGTGTGAGATTTCAGTAGTTTCCACACTTGCACAGAAACAGTTTTTAGGTGTCTGCAATCTGAAGTTTGAAAAGCACTGATGTAGAGAATGCCTGGTTTGACATATATTTATCTTTTAACACCGCTTAGATTTTTATGTAGAAAAGCTGGAAATTGAACATACTGTTTTGTCAAGCTGTTGCGAGCTGAAGCCTTTCTTCCTCTATCCACAGCCTGCCTTTTATCCACCAGCTGAAACATTAACATCTGCCCAAACTGAGTATGCCATACCTCCCATCTGCTGAACGGAGAAATAGGGGTCACAAGGCTGTTTGCTGCTGTTTAGCACATGAAAAAAACTGTCATAATATAGTTAGGTGTGCTGATTTTAGTTTATGCCTTAAAAAAGGCCGCATCTGCAAGGGTTTGGTTTTTGTAATGGTAAGCATCATTAATTTGTTGCCTTTCAGTGGCTTCAGCAAAGCACCAGTCTTTAAAAACTCTTCTCCAGCTTTGCATTTGCAGCTGTGAGTGTGGAAAACTCCTCTGCACCTGCAACTTGATGGAAATGTGCACTGGTAGCTGGAGGCTGAGGTCTCCCAGTCGCTTAGGGCAGGGCCCAAGGATGGCATTGGGGAATGCAGCGGAGACGACCCCATGCTGGACATGGCTCCTGCGTCCTGTTTAAGGCTGTCTTTAGCCTAGCCTCGACTGAGGACTTGCTGAATGGCTTGCCCAGCGTCTGGGCCATGCAACGGGGACGAGGTGTAGGCATTGCTGACGTAGATGCGAGGAATTTCGTGAGCCTTTTAGTGTTTCTCGCAATTGTCCCTTGTGATGCACAGAAATACTTGTGTTCAGATAGCTTCTGCTAAGCTATCTCATCTTTAATTGGTGATATGATTAACTAGGAATTCAGAACTTTGTTCTTTCTGCATGCTATTAAAGATAGCATCTTAAAATAAAGAATTACTGGCAAAAGCCAGCTTTGAAGTAGTGACGCTGGTGTTGAAATTTCATATGCAAACAGCATCAGTCAGTGCGAAAGCAGCAGCGTTAAGCCCATGTTAGTCTTTCTGATGGGATTTTCAATGGCAGTTACTGTTCCTGAACAGACACAAGTACAGAGAAACCCTTTTTAGACTGCCACCCAGTTCCCCTCTTTCTTCAGTATTTAATTAAAATCATTTTATCGTGAAGAAAATGTCATCAGTGTGACCAGAACTCATAACTAGATGAACTGTGATGAGAGAGAACTCTGTCTCCAGTGGTGGTTACATTAAAAACAAGCAAAGGGTTACAGTATCTTACAGGATGTTTATGGAATTTTCTTTCCAAGGGATAATATGTCCCATGGGCCTTTACGAAACAAGTCACTAGATGAGGCATTAGGCTGTGTACACTTTCTTTCTGTCTTTTTTCTCTCTCTTTCAATCCCGTAAGTGTGACCTGATATTTTTTAAGCTTAAGTAGTATAAGAAATAACGTTTTATTTCTTCATTACCAAAATTTTATTCAAGGTGTGACTTTCCTAGCAAAAGGCTAGAATAAATATCCCAGCTGGACTGCATAAATTGTCAATTTTATTATAGAGTTCTTGCCTAAATAGAGTCCTCTCCTCAGTTTTAAGTAAGTGTTAATTCCTTTTTTACAGGGACAGTATTTTTTAAGGCTCTTGGCATAGCTATGGGGACTTGGCTATTTCCTAATCTTCTTGACATTCACTAGTGTCTTCTGAAATATTTTTCTACATAGAAATGGTTAATTCATCTGATTTTTAAAAAATCAATTTTTTTTAGCCTGAACTCATGCATATTTAAATGGGAATTGAAGAACTGATTCATTTTTATCCTGTGGCCTTCTCGCAGAAAGCAGCGTAAATGTCCATACTGTTTAGAAGGTTACTGTTTAGTCTTATTCTGCATAGGATTACCTTCCTAACGTTTGCTGTTCACATTTAATGATACACCCAAGCAGTATTTGCATTTGTCTGTGTTATTTCTATTTTTACTTCTGTATTGCTTTTAAAATACTTTGAGCTAAAGTTAAGTTTTCTGGGAGTTTGAATGAAGAGATGACCTCTGCAGGATTGCCATGTTCAGAGGAGTTCATGCTTGCACTGTGCAAAAATTTCAGTCAGGGTGCTGCTCTCCCCAAAATATTTAATCCTGCAGGAAGCCCAGACTAGTGTGTTGGTTTTACAAGTGAAATCGCAAACATTAAATCCCAGCAACATAGCTAATTGTTCTTTTTCTTTTCTCTTTCAGGAAGTTAGTCATGACACCAGAAGATTTCGCTTTGCTCTCCCTTCCATGGATCATGTTCTGGGTCTCCCTATAGGTACGTTCTGCCTTTCTTTACTCAGAAGCCGTTTCGTTAATTATTCCGTAAGAGATTTTATGAGGATTTTTTTCCTACGCTGTGAATTGTTGAATTTCAAATACTGCCCACATGGTTTGAGCTGGTATTCAGGGCTTTGCAAGATCATCCCCATGCTGTGAGTCATCTGCAGGGTCTGAAATCCTGTGTACTTACAGGGAGTGTACGGCCAGCTTGTTTCTCTGAAGACCAACGCTGGTCTTTACTCACATTTTTCCAGTCTCAGCTTTCCAGTGTGTGTTACTCCTGTGGTGCTTGGTCTCTGTGGGCCCTTTCCATTCCCTCAGGCAGCGGTCTCAGCTACTTCTCCTCTCACACATGCGGTTTACCAGATGATCTACTCACGAATTTGCAGCCAGTCTCATGGAACTTCGTCATCACCACGGGGCAGATGTTTCCTTAGGCCTCGCCATGTGGCACGCTGCCTTCCATAATAGCTTAGTGCCATTGTTTCCTGCTGCTTATATAAAGAGCGTTTAATTATGACGTGTGTTTAATAGGGACTTCTGCTTCAACAACCTATTGCTTTAACAACAACAGCCTGTGGACCAGATGCTTTGTGGTAGTGCCCAGCACCTTTCCAGCATTAGTCCACCGTGTCTAGGTTCCCTCTTGTTTAGGGTATATTAATCTCTTGATCCTGTTAAGTAGCCATGAGGGCAAAGCCCCTCCCTTGCCTGAGGGGCGAGCTGTCTCACCGCTGTAATTGCTCGTCTAACACGCTAGCAGAAAAGAAGCTGCCTGGGGTGAATTTGGCCAGCTGGATGCCATGGTTTCCTCCAGTGTTTTAGCGAGGTCAGGGCAAATCAGCCAGTTGTTTCGGTGTGGCCTGAGAAGGTGCGTGTCAGCCCCTGCACGGTCCCAGGAGCAGCACAGTCGTGTTCTCAAAGGTGCTCTGCACGGGCTAATCTGTGGGTGATGGAGGGAGTGGTTTAATGGGCGAGACCTGGGAAGCAGAGAGACCTGAAAGCTGGGGAGGGTGGTAAAAGCAGCTGGGAGCAGCAGGCTGGGCAGCCGTGGGATGGACACCACTGTGCACCCTGCATGTTTAGTCCAGCACCCGCATTTAGCTTTTACTGCCAGCTGGAGCATTACAGGAAAAAATGCAGTTCACTTGGAGGGAGAGTGGGATAGTGTATGGCCCCACTTGGAGGCTGCCAGCTGATCTCCTCTCAGGGCTGGGTAAAGCTCTAACAAGTAAGAGCCTAAGGCATGTTTTCCCTTTGGGAGGGGCACCTTTTTTGGATTTGTACCAAGTCTTGTGAGACATGCCCCAACAGCACTCCCATCTGTCCAGCTTCCCGGTCTGCAGTCACCTTGGGTCTGTTCCTGGAGGAGGGGGCAACGAGGCCACCCCCTGCCCAGAGGAAGAACAGGAGGGGCCTTCCCTAGCAGGAAACATGTGCTACCAGATTTGTATAGGCTTTGCTAAGAGGAGGCTGTTTGAATCACCCTTACTTGTGTCTGCATACAGCTTCGAGCGAGTTATGGTTGCCCATTTCCCAAGTTCCCAGGTAGCAGCACATCTTCATTCGCCCACTGGTTGGCCTCCTTGGTCCTCGGGCTTGGTAGGATAGCTCCTGGTAAAATCCCCTCTTTGTGTTCCCGTAAGAGGCAGGGGAGCTGCACTATCTTTGGAGAGCTGCATTCATCTTAAGGGATGGTTTGTTCTGTGGACCTAGTGGTGATAAAATAAAAACAAATCCTCCCCTCTTCAGCGTGTTGGAATTTTATAGGAAAAACTCTCAAGGGAGTTTATTTCCTCAGAAACATAGAGGTTGAGAAAATAAACGATTTTAGAGAGTTCAGTGAATGTGTGACCAATTGAAATGTGACTGCTGCGGTCAAATGTTACACTGGAGGAATTAGCAGCGTTAGAAAAGTGCTTTATGTGGTGGAAGCCTTGGCAATGGCAGCGAGAAGACCTCCTGGTAGACATGAGCATCTGTGGTCAAAGTAGGAACTTCCTACTTCGTTAGAGTTTAGTGAGAACCGAGTTTATCTAACACGTTGTTAAAGAAGTGCGAACAGCACTTGACCGTTTTCCCCTCCTGTGTCCTTTTCACTTGTCTGTGCAGGACAGACATGGCACATCTTTTGCAAGTCTTAAAGTCAGCCAGGCAGGTTTCGAGTATCTCCAGGGAAGGAGGCTCCACAACCTCTCTGGGCAGCCTGTTCCAGTGCTCTGGCACCCTCGAAGTTGTTCTTCCTCATGTTGAGAGGGAATTTCCTGTGTTCCAGTTTGTGCCCGTTGCCCCTTGTCTTGTCTCTGGGCATCGCTGAGATGAGCCTGGCCCCATCCTCTTAACACCCACCCTTTAGATATTTACAAGCATTGATAAGATCCCCTCTCAATCTTCTCCAGGCTAAACAGACCCAGCTCTCTCAGCCTTTCCTCATAAGAGAGGTGTTCCATTCCCTTGGCCATCTTCCTAGCCCTCCCCTGGACACTCCCAGTATTTGAACTGGGGAACCCAGAACTGGATACAGTACTCCAGATGTGGCCTAGCTAGGGCAGCATAGAGCGGGAGGATGATGTCCCTCGACCTGCTGGCCTCACACTTTTTAATGGCCCCCGGGATACCATTAGCCTCATTGGCCACATGGGCACGTTGCTGGCTCACGGTCAACTTACTGTCCTCTGGGACTCCCAGGTGCAGAGCTGCTTTCCAGCAGGTCACCCCCAGCCTGTACCGGTGCCTGGGGTTATTCCTCCCCAGGTACAGGACCCTACCCTTGCCCTTGCTGAACTTCATCAGGTTCCTCTCCACCCAGCTCTCCAGCCTGTCCAGGTCTCGCTGAATGGCAGCACAGCCTTCTGGTTTATCAGCCACTCCTCCCAGTTTGGGGTCAGCAGCAAACGTGCTGAGGGCACACTCCATCCGTTTGTCCAGGTCGTTGATGAATATGTTGAACAAGACCGGGCTCAGTACCGACCCCTGGAAACCCCGCGAGTCACAGGCCTCCAACTAGACTCCGCAGCCCTGGCACAACCCTCTGAGCTCTGCCATTCAGCCAGTTCTCCATTCACCCCACTGTCAACTCATCCAACCCACACTTCCTAAGCTTACCCATGAGGATGTTATGGGAGACAGTGTCAGAAGCCTTGCTGACGTCCACGGCTCCCACCTCATCCACCCTGCAAGTCATGCCATCGTAGAAGGCTACCAGATGGGGCAAGCATCATTTCCCCTTGGTGAACCCATGTTGACTACTGCCAGTAACCTCCTCTTCCTTTACATGCTTGGGGATGACCTCCAGGATGAGCTGTTCTATCACCTTTCCAGGGGTGGAAGAGAGGATGACTGGTCTGTAGTTTCCTGGTCTTCCTTCTTGCCCTTTTTGAAGACTGGCATGACATCAGCTTTCCTCCAGTCCTCAAGCACCTCTCCTGTTCTCCATGACCTTTCAGAGATGTTGGAGAATGGCTCAGCAATAACATCTGCCAGCTCTCTCAGCACTCATGGGTGCATCCCATCAGGGCCCATGGATTTGTGGGTGTCAGGTTTGCCTAAATGATATCTCTAACCTGCTCCTCCTCAACCAAGGGAGGGTCTTCCTTTCTCCAGGCTCTCGCTCTTAACTCCAGGGGCTGGGATTCCTGAGGGCTGGCCTTAGCAGTAAAGAGTGAAGCAAAGAAGGCATTCAGCAACTGTGCCTTCTCTGCATCCTCTGTCCCCAGGGCACCCTCCTCGTTCAGCAGCGGGCCTACGTTTTCCCTAGTCTTGCCTTTGCTGCTGATGTACTTGATGAAGAAGGCCTTCTAACTGTCCCTGCCATCCCTTGCCAGGTTTAATTCCAAGTGGGCCTTAGCCTTCCTCATTGCATCCCTGCATCCTCTAATCAATGTTCCTATATTCCTCCCAAGTGGCCAGTCCCTTTTTCCACATTCTGTAAACTTCTTTCTTCCATGTAAGTTTTTCCAGAAGCTCCTTGCTCATCCACGCAGGTCTTCTGCCTCCTTTGCCCGGTTTTCTACTCATAGGAGCACACTGATCTTGAGCTTGGAGGAAGTCGTGTTCGCATATTAACCAGCTGTCCCTCACCCCCCTTCCTTCTAGAGCCTCTTAAAATCAGCCGTGGAGTTGTCTGCCCTTCCAGGTAGGACCTGTGCTTGGTTCACAACTCTGGCAAGGTGTTGCAGTGTCAGGAAAATGAGAGAGGAAAAAGTGATGCCCTAAAACAAGGTAGTCAGGAGAACTTTGAAACTGCCTCTGCAGTCCATGCCAACTCACCACATCCAATGGAAGAAGTGTCTTTTGACAGCCAACTGCTTGTTTTCTCCCCGCCTACAGGACAGCATATCTACCTGTCGGCACGGGTCGATGGAGCTCTGGTTGTTCGGCCTTACACTCCGGTTTCCAGTGACGATGACAAGGGCTTCGTGGACCTTGTTGTTAAGGTGAGAACGTCGCGCTCTCTTACTTCTGAGCCCACCTTCGCGCTTGCGGTGCTGTGTGAAGGCTGATGGGCCGGCTTCTGTTCGGGTCTGTGCCGCTGCGGGTTCCACTGTTGCCTACAGGCCAGAGGGCGTTTTGCAAGTGCGTCTTTAGTGAGCGTGTCTCCTGAGGTGCTCTGCAGCCTTCTGTATTTGCATGCTGCCATGGTCCAAAATCTGCGTAGGCCTGCAGGTGTTCCCACGCTTTCCTTAATCCTTCTGAAATAAGGAATTAACCTTGCCTAAACTGTCAGCTGCTTCTGCTGCTGATGTAATACGGTCATTGTGATCGTTACTGATCCAGACGGTGTGAATGACTGATTTAATTGGGCAGAATGTTTCTGGGTCTTGTGATAATGTACTTTTGTTTTGTCTCGTGGTACCTCAACTAAGCAAATATATTTGAACCTGACAGGAATTTCAAACCTGAGTATCTGCACTGGATTTCCTCTTAGAATTTCACTCTTTTATTTCCCTTCTATACAGCTAATAACACTTTATTCATTTATTGTGAAACTAGACGTGAATTTGCCTTTTACTACCTACTTATCTTCATGAGCACGGCATTGCACGCTGAAGACGCAATGACAAGGGAAAAATGCAAATCTTTGGCCCGGATAGAAACACTTTGCAAGACTCCTTGTCCCCGGTGTGGCTCTCCACGCGTGCAAACGAAGCTGCTGTTGTAAAGGCTCAGCTGGTGGCAGCTTGAACTCTTTTCGCACCCAGTTGATTCTAAAAATCCCCGGCACAGTTCCAACCACGTGACTCCACCCACTGATACCGGTTGGTGAAGAGTTGGATAGTCAGTTAGTTGGTACCCGCTTCAGCTTTTTTGGTTTTTTTTAGTCAGCTTTTTTGGTTTTCTAACTTGGAGGTGCAATCAGTTGGCATCCCAAGAAGAAGATCTGGATATATCCCTCTGCAACTGAGCTGTCAGGGATCTTTCTCCGAAGTTTTTCTGTTTTGAAATCACAGTGGTTTGGGGTTTTTGCCTTTCTTTCCCCCTTTTGAACTTGGGTGTAAATCATGTTGATTAGAGATATTTTCTACATTACAGAAATACAAGTGAGAAACTGCCAGCCTGTGTCCACTCTGATCAAAACTGGAGCAAGAGTGGCATTTTAATCTTTTTTCAGAAAACTCAGTGCTTCTTTTTTATTGTCAGTCAAATCTGCATTGACAGTATTTATGTAGTAACTGCGTTCTTTGCCTGAGGAGTCTGGGTACCTGAATGTTTGAAGGGCAAATACTCATCTTTGAGCTGTGCGATTAATTGCTTCGTTGTTATTTTTAACAGATCTACTTCAGAGGAGTCCACCCGAAGTTCCCCGACGGGGGGAAGATGTCTCAGTACATAGACAGCCTGAAAATAGGGGATACTATTGACTTCAGAGGACCAAGTGGCTTACTTGTCTACAAAGGAAAAGGCAAGGCTGATCCAGAAGATGTAACTTACCCAGAGTAAACCATACAGGAAAAAAACCAGTTATACTGGTTAGTTTTTTCCAGCTGGGTTCAAGTCTTTGTAGAATCACAGAATGGTTTGGGTTGGAAGGCACTCTTAAAGGTCACCTAGTCCAGCCTCCCTGCAATGAGCAGGGACAACCTCAGCTGGATCAAGGTACCCAGAGCCCTGTCCAAACTGACCCTGAATGTTTCCAGGGATGGGGCATCTACCAATTCCCTGCGCAACCTGTTCCAGTGTTTCACCACTCATTGAAAAACAAAAGGCTAAAAGAGAAGGAAGATTCTTTTTTAAAGCCATTACCCCTTGTCCTGTTGTAACAGGCCCTGCTAAAAAGCCTGTCCCCATCTTTCTTATAAGCCCCCTTCAGGCACTGGAAGGTGCTATAAGGTCTCCCCGGAGCCTTCTCTTCTCCAGGCTGAACAAGCCCAACTCTCCCAGCCTGTCCCCATAGCAGAGGGGCTCCAGCCCTCGGAGCATCTCCGTGGCCTCCTCTGGACTCGCTCCAACCAGTCTATATCCTTCTGATGTTGAGGGCTCCACAGCTGGACACAGAACTGCAGGTGGGGTCTCACGAAAGCAGAGTAAAGGGGGAGAATATCTGGCTGTGTTTGGATTACACATTCTGCATGAACTGAACCTTACCTATCGCCTCTCTCTATTATTCAGGCAGGTACTCTCAGTATACTCACCATTTCCCACTAGACACAGGGGTTCTTTCTGTTGTTAGCATCTTTGCACAAAAGAAGTTGCTAGTGTTGTAATTAACTAAACGGCCATCCTGAGGGGTATTGTTACATGGCTGTAGAAGTGCTTGTTATTGATACTGTTCTCAGTATCAGGACAGGACAAGGGGTAACGGGTTTAAATTGAAAGTGGGGAGGTTTGGATTGGATATCAGGAAGAAGTTCTTCCCGGAGAGGGTGGGGAGGCACTGGGACAGGTTGCCCAGAGAAGCTGTGGATGCCCCATCCCTGGAAGTGTCCAAGGCCAGGCTGGATGAGGCTTGGAGCAGCCTGATGGTGTCCCTTCCAACCCAAACCATTCTGTGATTCTTGAAGGGAATTATCTCCCTGCTTACACAGACAGAGTTTCTGCAATGATAGAAGTGCTTGGTGTTTGCACTGTCCAGTGCTAATTTCCCAATTGAAAATGAACTTTCTCAGTGGGAAGTACTTTTATGCCAATATAAAATGTCTCACTTTGGCATAGTGCAGCCACAGATGTGTCACAAAAACCTGGCAGTTTTTGTCAGCAGCAGAACTCAGACATGTGGTTTTCCAGAGCTTTGTATGCTGTGTTCATGTTATCCTGGATGAAGAGAGTGGTGAATACAACAAGTACAACATTTTGGGCAGTTTCAAACCCTGTCAGACGTTTTCCATCTCTCTCCCTCTCTTCAGGCAAGTTTGCTATTCGCCCTGAAAAGAAAGCTGAACCAGTTATTAAGCAAGTGAAATACGTGGGGATGATTGCAGGTGGGACCGGTACGTATCTATGAAGATTCATCCTCGGTTCCTGGCAGGTGGTAGATGTATTTGCACATATTTTCTCTCACGTGCTTGCTTGTGCTTTCTTCTGTTTCTTTGCATTCCCGCATTGTTGACCTTCCTTTCTCTTTCAGGGATAACCCCTATGCTGCAGATCATTCAGGCAATCATAAAAGACAAAGACGACCCTACCGTTTGTCAGCTGCTCTTTGCTAATCAGGTAATTCTGTCCTTTTTTCCTGTCTGTAAAGTTTGATGTTACTGCCAGAACTCCACTCAGCAAGTCAGATTCTTGCTGAGGAAGCCTGCTACAGAAATACAAGCCCTGAGGGGAGAAATGAACTGAAATGTTGAAAACTTCCACTTATAAGAGCACTATAATGAATTGTTTTTTTAGTGTTACTGCAGAAATGCTGCTCTCCTCCCAGCTCGTGCTTGCTTTCCCATGTCTCACTCCTCTCTTTCTAATCCAGTTTATAAATGCTTTAAAACTCCGCGTTCCTGTTTTATGTTTTGGGCAGACTTTCAGAGCTGTCTGTCTTCGTGGAAGCAGGAAAGCGGTGCGCATCTATCTCCCCAGCTTTGCAGCAGGGTTTCTGTGTGGAATGTTTCTGTTTGAGGACACCTCAGGTGACACTAAAATTAAGTGGTTTCCAGCAGCTCCCTCAGCTACGGAGCTGTGATTCTGCATGGCTGTGTCCTTTCCATTCCCTGTGTTGGTTCCTCACGTGTTTCTACTGCTCGGTGAGGCATATCGCACTGCTGTGCTGCACAAAGGGAAGATCTCTTATCCATGGAATCCTTGAGACAGATTTCTTGGATGACCAGGCAACCCAAATGGCAGCGTGCTGGTGAACGGCAATCCCCCTTCTTCTGGTGTTAATCCTTTTGCTTTCAAATTGCTCCATGATAATGAGTATTTGTTTCTGAATTATGAGCCTTTATTTGTGGTGAACCTCACTTCATGCCTCTGTATGGTGGTTTACCCCAGCTGGCAACTGAGCACCACACAGCTGCTCGCTCACTCCCCACCCCCGGTGGGATGGGAGAGAGTCGGAAGAGTGAAAATGAGAAAACTCGTGGGTTGAGGTGAAGAGAGTTAAATAGGTAAAGCAAAAGCTGCACAGGGAAACAAAGCAAATCAAGTAATTCATTCACGGCAGGCACGTGTCCAGCCATCTCCAGGAAAGTGGGGCTTCATCACGTGTAGCGGTGTCTTGGGAGGACAAACACCGTTGCTTCAAACACGCCCCTCCCTTCCTTCTTCTTCCCTCAGCTGTGTACGCTGAGCATGACGTCATATGGTATGGAATGTCCGTTTGGGCAGTTGGGGTCAGCTGTCCTGGCTGTGTCCCCTCCCAACTCCTTGTGCTCCCCCAGCCTGCTGACTGCTGGGGTGGGGAGCAGAAAAGGCCCCGACTGTGTGCAAGCACTGCTCAGCGGTAACGAAACCATCCCTCTGTCATCAGCGCTGTTTCCAGCACAAATCCAAAGCACAGCCCCTGCGAGCTCCTACGAAGAACAGTAACTCTATCCCAGCCCAAACCAGCACATGGCAGTTTTTAGCTTCTTTAGGTTCTCATCTGTCATTCCTCTCTCCCTCCCCCTTTCCTTTGTACCACATCTGAATTCAAACTAAGGTTTTCCTGCGCGGAAGGTACGATCCAAGTGCCAACGGACGCCCTTTCCTGGTGCTTGGTGCCAGGCAGAGCCCTGCCGGTGCCCTCGGGTGCAGCTGGTCTCTGCTGAGCCCTAGGAGTTGGCATCAAGGGCCGTCAGTATCGGGGTGGGAGGGTCAGGATTTGCTGTCAGTAACTCAGAACGATGAATTCAGGGCTGGAGCTGCTGTCGCAGCCTAGAAAACACACAGCTGCTTGCAGGGAGGAATCGGGGAGTGGTTGCCTGCGTGTTAGCAACCGTCTGTGTAAACATCAATCCTTAGCTTTAAAGAGTCCTCGCACGCAGCAGCTGCACAGATATAAAGCAGCCTCGTGACGAACAGTTGGCGAGGAAAGCCTGTGGGGTTTAGTAGGATTTAAAATATTTTAAAATACTTTTCGAAGGTGTTTTGCTCATCTTTTATTTTGGCTGTCCTGAAAGAGCTGCGTTGGATTACCGATGGCGGTGTCTGTGGGCTCGTGCCGTGCTTCTGACTAGCGCGCTTCCAGCTGGTCAGACCCAGTCACGGCTTCTCTGGAACACGTGCAGCTGCAAGGCCAGAAATAGGCACCTTCTCGGCAAGAGTTGCTGGCACATTCCTCCTTACCCCACCGCTTACAGACATAGGGGTGTCCTCAGTGCCAAATTATGAAGGCTGCAGGGGGTGGTACCACTTTTAGTCTGTAGCCTTTTCCCTCCTTCCCAGACTGCAGCTGCTCTTACGGGAATACGGCTTTCTTTTGGCCTTCAGTGATGTTGCGTGGGGGAGGAGCAGAACGTGATAGCCTGGGTAACGTTTGTTCCCGTCAGAACTTGCTACCCTTGGGTTATTTGTTCCACATCCTGTTTAAAATCCAAGCAAGGTCCCTGTGGCAGTGCTGGTGAAATCTGAAGTGACAACGGTGAGAAACCTGGCATTTTCCCGACTGAACAGCACCGTGTGGAGGGTAGGGAGACACTTGTGGTTAGTTTTTTCATGGAAGTTGCTGTTGTAATGGGAGTGCTAAAAAGAGGGCTTTGCTCTTCTGATGCCACCACCAGTTCCCTGAAGGAGTGACAGTTCTCTGTTCTGATACAGGTTTGGTTTGGGGTTTTTTTGAGGGAAGGCATTGCAGGGTCAGGATTTGGGAAAGTTACGAACCTTTCCGTTAGCTCTGCCCACAGGATAGTCATGGAAATCCCTTAGGTTTGCTTTCCTCAGGCTGCAGAATGGAGTTGAATAGTCTGTTCCATCTCACAGTGAGTGGCTGATGCGCAGCGGTCATCCGAGGGCCGCACTCGAACGCAGAGCCGTAATCATTGTTTTCCTCATCCTGCAGACCGAGAAGGATATCCTGTTACGTTCCAAGCTAGAGGAGATCCAGGTCCAGAATCCCAGTCGCTTCAAGTGTTGGTACACGCTGGACAGAGCGCCTGAAAGTAAGATCTAACACGCTACTTCCGCTGAAGTTACGGGTTTGACAGGCAGCATGCGATGTCCTATGTGTATTTTTGGGCTCCTTTCTTGCTTTCACATCGCGTGTGAACGCATCCTGTAGCGTCATTCCTCGGCGCGATGCTGCGGCGCCTTCACAGCTGTGAAGCTCACGCGGGTAGCGCAGCGTTCCTCCTGCACCTGGCCTTACCGTTGTTTACTGTGATCCAAGGGGACCTTCCTTTCTCCTTCCCCAGGGACAGGAGGACAGCCTGCTCTCTCACTGCCGGGCACTAAGGCAGCGGCAGTGGGAGCGTCGGAGGCGCAGTATCTTGCTGAGCTGCGATTCCTAGCTGATTCCTAGCTGTCACGGAGCGGCAGTTCCTCTTCTTCCTAGGCAGTGGGCTGGCCTCCGCATTAGCAGTGCTCCTCGATGGAAATGCTGCTCCAGCGTGGCCGCAGCCCAGTTTTAAAGACAACGGGTTGTGGTTGGTTGGCCTAGGTGAGGGGAGGAGCTAGCTGAAGGTGCCGCCCTCAGCTGCAGGTTTGGGGAAGAAAAGGGTCAACGGTTACAGCCGTTGTGACAAGGCTCAGTAGCTTCCATGTCACCCCTTGTCGTCTTCCTGTCTTACCGCTCCTTGTCATGCCCACCCGCTTCAGGATCGACTGACGCTCCTGTTGGGTGGGATTGCGGGCAGAGATGGAAAAGCCACCCGCCTTCTCTCGCCCTGTGACCCGGCATGCACCTCCGGTGGGGTGGGGGTCTTGCCATCCCCACAGTCAGTTGTCTCGTGTCATCTGCAACCAGTGTTGGCCAGGAATTTCCAATCCCCCTTCCTTTTCTCTGCTGTCGGAACTGTGACCTGGCCTTAGCAGTTGCTACGGAAGTTCCTCCGTAGACCCCCGCAGCACGGTTGACTGGCAGGCTTGCACTCCAGCATACGTGAAACTGGACCCAAACTGGAAATTTTTGGTTGATCTGTGGGAGAAAAATGACTCGGTCTTACTGTACCCAAAGGTTTGGGTCAGCAGCTTTCCGCATCCAGCGCTGGGGATGCCATGGGTAAGCCTGAATCCCCGTGTTAACCGACCAGCACCGTGAGCGTTCCAACCGGGAGCAACTCCAGCCGCTAGATTTCCCCCGCTGAACATGGAACGGGTGGGGTAAGGGGGATGGAAGATGTTGTTTCCCAGCGCTGGAGCTGAGAAGATTCACACCCTGGTGGTGGCTCCTGGGGGCTTTCGGCAGGCTTTAGGCAAAGTTACCCGTTGCCGCTCACCCCGGGTTTGCGTCTGAAAAGCCGAGGTGGCGCCGCGCGGCGCAGCCCGTCCGTGGCGAGGGCCCCGGCGCGAGTGGAGTGTGCGAGTGCTGCAGTCCCGAACGCTATAAAAAACCCCAACCCCCCCAGCTTCATTCTAAAGTGACTTGGATCTACCTTTTTCTCCTCATTCCCTGTTCCCTGCTTTCACTTCTTCAACAGGTTGGGATTACAGCCAAGGATTTGTGA